ACCACCATAGCTCCCAAACCACCAGCTCCCCAGCCACACGCACACACCCCCACACGCACACACACACACAGACTCAGCCACACACACACACTCAGCCCCCACACCCCCCCCCACACACACACACACACTCACACACACATTCAGCCACACGCACACACTCAGCCCCCACCCCCCCACACGCACACACTCACACACACATTCAGCCACACGCACACCCCCCCCACACGCACACACACACACTCAGCCCCCACCCCCCCACACGCACACACACGCACACACACACACACACTCAGCCCCCCCCCCCACACACACACTCAGCCACACACACACATACACACACACTCATACTGACACACACAATAACACACACACAATCACACTCACTCATACTGACACACACACTCACACACACACACACGTACTGACACGCACACAGAATCACACGCTCACTCATACTGACACACACACACACACACACCCACACACAAAGCCCCTCAGTGTGAGTGATTGGGTCAGACCTCACTCCGGGAGAGAGAGAGAGAGAGAGTGAGTGTGCCTCAGTGAGCTGCCGGGGTCTTCGTGTCCTGTCTCATCAGCCGCGTAACCGTTCACAGTTATCACAAAGTTTGTGACAATAACAAACAGTAAACTTTGCATTTGATACGGCGCCTTATCACGTCGTTGAGACGTCTCAAAGTGCTTCACAGGATATATATGAGAGATTTAAAGCCCTACACACACACACACACACTCACACTCAGCCCCACACACACACACGCACACGCACACGCTCAGCCCCACACACGGACATCCAATACCATTCTAGTGAGGAAAAAAACACCGTAGCACTTCACAGGAACCGCGGAGTCCTGTAGCATAACGGTTAGCACCTGCGTCTCGCACGCAAGAGGACCTCAGGCACGTTTCCCTACGCTCCGCACCGCTGTTTACTTTGCAGTCGGTAGCAACAATATATTACAATACATCCTGCGAAGTGCTTTACGACGTCTCAACAACGTGGATAAGGCCCTGTATCAAATGCAAGGTTTATTATTATCATTGTTCTTATTATTGTAAAGTGTAGTGACTGTGTATTTTGCGGAAGCCAACCCCTCACGGCAGCGTCCCCACAAACAGTCGCGGATTGATTGAGTGACCGCGTTTTTATTTGGAGGGGTTATTACCCACCGCCCCCCCCCCCCCCCGGAAAACGATCCGATAAGTCGACTAATAACCGGGTTCTAATTTACTGCTGACTAAACAGAGGCGTGTGTGCGCGCACGTGTGTGTTTATGTGTGTGCACACGTGTGTGTGTGTGTGTGTGCATGTGCGGAGTAAGGAAACTTGACTAAGGTTTCGCGCTGCCTGGGAATCGAACCCGGGTCCTCTGGCTTGCGAGGCGAGGGGTCTAACCACTGCCCTACTTTGGGACTCCGAGGTGTACGTCGACCGCTCAATCCACAGGTCAGTCACGACGTCAGGAGCTGACAAGGTGCCCAGGGGTAAGTGGGGGGCGTGTGGAGAACGGTGCAGGAGGAAGCCATGAGCGTCCAAACTCAGCACTTCTCCATTCGGCGCTGTCTTTCGCAAACCTGATTGGAAAGCACCACCAGAGACGCTTTGCCTCTGACACCTGCGGAAACCCATTGAGTCTCCAAACCCAACTGAGAATTCCCTCAGTTTCCCACCCACACACGGAAACCCCAGAGATAGATTGCTGGAATGGAATGCTCTCTCTCTCTCCCTCTCCCTGGAGGGACATATCCTACTTACCGGTTGGCCACAAAAATCCAAAACCACATGGCTTGACATTGGTATCGCTGTCTGGCTAAGGTTTCCCATTGCTGGTCCAACTAGGACCACCCTACCCCTTAGGGCTTTGGCTGGCGGGGTTAACGGGAGCTGAGGGGGAGGATTCCTTGCCCCCAGTGACCGGTCTTTGAGCTGAGGCGGGTGCATCTGGGCGTTAGGGTGACCGGAACCTCTTGCAGGAACAGCGACGACGACAACATGCGGTTATATGATAATAATAATAATCCTTGCATTTCACACAGCGTCTTATCACGTCTTCGAGACGTCTCAAAGCGCTTCACAGGGTATACTGTAAAGTGGAGTGACCGTACATCAGACTCCGCCAGCGTTAAGCGCTCTGGTACGCTGCGAAGGGCGCTATATAACTGCAAGTTGTTGTATATTCTCTCACGGAGGCTCGCGGCACGGAGAGCTTCGGGTGCGAGCTGAACGACTAGGTTTGAAGGTGTTAAAAGAGATTTGGAGCTAATTCGGATGTAATATAAGTCGAGGTTGAGTTTCTAAAGAGCCCTTGTATCCGCACATTCCCCAGATTGTGCCAGTGAGTGTCAGGAACGCACACCTTGCGAGATGTCCTGGGCTTTAAGAAAGAGATCATTGTTTATCTTTTTTTTTGGCAGCAGGAGCTGAGGGAGGGAAGGAGGGAGAGAGGGAGGGAGGGAGGGAGGGAGGAGAGAGAGAGAGAGAGAGAGAGAGAGGTAGGAAGTGATGGATGGTCGGAAAAAGATAGAACGAGAGATGGGCAAAGAGCAAAGACAGGGAGTGGGGTGGGGGGAGGAAAGGGGAGGGATTAAGAAGGAGGAGGACGAGGGAGGTGAGGTGAGGTTTTGCGGGGAGTCGAGAGAACGATCGAAAAAGGGCAAAACAGGACAGAAAATCCACGGCTGTTTGTGGGGACGCTGCTGTGCGCAATTGGCTGCCGCGTTTCGCTCACTAAATGCACAGTCACTACACTGCAGCATATTCCGTGAACCACTTTGAGTCGTCTCAACGACGCGATAAGGCGCTCTGTAACACGATATAATACAATACAATAGAATATAATCCTGACATTCGATACAGCACCTCATCACGCGGTTGAGACGTCTCAAAGCGCTTCACAGGATATACCGTAAAGTGTAGTGACTGCCTGTTTTGCGGGGCGGAATATATGATAAAGTGGATTGGCTGTGTAATTTGCGGGGGTGGGGGTGGGGGGAGGGGGGCGGCGAAACGTGTATCGAACGCGAGGATTAAGGAGAGCGAGAAAGGAGAGACAAAGGATAAAGAGTGGGGAGGGTTGAAAATAAAGTGGAGGAAAGGGGGAGGAAGTTCATAGCTCTGTTGAAAACTCCGGCCGGGGATGTGGTTTGCAATGACACCGAAGCTGTTACTCGACTCCAAATTCCTTGAAGTGCGCGGTGACTGTCAGGAGACGGGAGCGGAGGGTAGATCTGAGCCCACAGGCTGCCTTGTGGCTTCCCTCCACCACAGCGTCAGGCGGAGATAAGCAGAGAGGGGCAGCGAGGAACACGGCCAAACCCACTTATGCAACAGCGTCCAGCTGCCGAGCCAGTCCCAACAGGGACTGCGCAGTTCCTCATATCTCCCCGCGTACCCGATTCCCCCCTCCCCATCCCACCTCTCACCCCCACCCCCCCACTCCTCCCCCCACCTCTCTCTCTCTCTCTCTCTCTCTCTCGTCCTAAACCGCGAGACAAGCGAGAACGAGCGGTAGAGGCACTCGACGCCGCAGCGATGGGCTGGTAAGGAACCTCGACTGCGCCGTAATTAAGCCGGAGTGCGGGGGGAGGTGTTGTGAGGTCAGGCAGCCGATAAGGTTGTCGTTGTCGTTAATTGAAGCACTCGCTTTCAGACCCGGGCGGTGGGATTCTGCCCCGCCAGGTCAGGGCTTAACCCTCCAAAATACACAGTCACTTCACTTGACAGTGTAGCCCGTGAAGTGCTTTGAGACGTCTCGGAGGCGTGATAAGGCGCCGTGTCAAACGCAAGGATGATTATTATTATTATGATTATTATTATGATTAATTCCGCGCCAATTGTGCAGCGTTTGGCAAATCGTTGAATTCAGCCTTAATTAACGTCAAATTTGTTTGTGGGTGTTTTTACACCCCCCCACACCCCCCTCACACCACCCCCCCACACCCCACCCACCCCCACCGCGGCTCTTAAAATAAATCGGCGGCTAAACTTTGAGCGTGTGTGAGAATCCGTCTTTCGGGCGAGACGTTAAACCGAATTGTGTGTGTGTTCCCCATCCCCCCCCCACCCCCCACCACCCCCACTCCCCGCCCCATCCCGTCTGCGCTCTTCGGAGTTAAAACTTAAGACCGCTCGTAAAGAGAAGAGAAGAAGTGTGTGGAGTGCAAGGATTAGTATTATTATCCGATGCAAGGATTATTGATTATTGATTATTCAGTGGTTTCATTTTTTTGATCAGTTGCTTCGTTGGTTGGTAATTAGTTGGTTGTGTCCATTCCCCGTACAGTTCCACTGTTTATTCAAGGATTTATCTGTTTGGCTGCGTACGCGCGATATAACAGTCCTCGCATTTGACACAGCGCCTTTTCACGTCGTCGCTCGCGACGCCTCAAAGCGCTTCGAAGGACGTACCGCAGAGCGAATTGACTGTGTGCTTTGCGGAGCGAAACCGCGCTGTGTGTTTGTATAGTGTGATAATCCTTGCAATCTGGCCGACCTCAACGCGTCGAAAAACATTTTGCAGGGTTTTCGGCCAAGTTTCGCGGGTTTTACTCGCGAGCGAGAGCCCGAGCGAGCGCGGCAGACAATCTGTTGAAACAACCCCCTCCCACCCCACCCACCCCCCCACCCTGTTCCACTCCCCACCCCATGATGGTTCGGCGCTCGATTAGCGCTCAATAACAACGGTAGCGATGGTGAAATGTAACAAGAGTGTCAACCAACGCCTTCGGGAGATCAGGAGGAGGGAGAGACAAGGGGAACAGAAAGCCTCGGCTTATCAGCGAGGGAGTGAAGTGTGCGTTGGATAAAGCAGCCACATCAGCAACTGTTTCAGGGTGATATGAGACCTTCTGGGGTTATCAGCGACACATTTCAACCACCTACCCATCAGCCTGAGCTGAACCATTTCAGAGAGAGTCTCTCAGCTCCGCGTCTGCAGAGGTTCCTTCGCGACCGGATCAAATATTCCAGCGTTTAAATAATAATCATCGTAATAATACTCCTTGCATTTTATCGCGCCGGGTTTCAGAGTGCGATGGACCCCTCAAAGTGCCTCGCAGGATTTTACCGTGAGTGTCAGTGCGGTCACTGAAGTGTGGGGCGGTTGAGTGTGGTTGTGTGGTGACTGTGTGTTTTGTAGGCGAACGCGGCAACCAATTTTTTGCGCCCAGCAGCAATACAACAACAGCAACAACAAGATTGCGTTTATAGAGCGCCTTTCACGTCGGGAGGACGTCCCAAGGCGCTGGACAGTTGGGTCAGGACCCGAGCATTGGGGGGATATGGTCAGGGGGAGGGAAGGGAGGGAGCGAAGAGGGGGTAGAGAGTCGAGAGGGGAGCTGAAGGCACGGTCTAAGAGAAAGGTCTTGAGACCGGCCTTGAAGGAAGAAAGGGAGGAAGTGGCGAAGGCACTGGGGGATGGAGTTCCTAATATTGCTTCCTAATACTACTACTACTACTACTACTAATCCTTGCATTCGATATAGAGCCTTATCACGTCGTTGAGACGTCTTAAAAGCGCTTCACAGGATACTGTAATGTTTCACAAGCAACTGTGAAGTGTAGTGACCGTTTCTACTGGGCGGGGCGGGGGGGAAATCGGCTTCTACTTCCCACCCCCCAAAAGTAATAATGATCAAAACAAATCCGGGGGAATCGCTTTCCGGGGATAGTAATTCCTCCCGAAAATATTTCGGTCGCTGAATCCACCACTGTGTGTGTGTGGGGGTGGCGGGGGGGGGGGACACGGCTGTGCGCAATTGGCTGCTGCGTTTCGCCCGCCAAACGCACGGTCACTCCACTTTCCGGCGTGTCCCGCGAAGCGCTTTGAGGCGCCTCGAAGGCGCGATGAGGGGCCGTGTCCAACGCGAGGATTCCTACGGTTCTCTTCTGTGGATTGACGGCGTTTTCCATCTGTCTGCCTTCGTGCGCACAGAGACCTGAGCCCCGGAGACAGCGGCGACTCTGTCCTTTGGTGAATGTGTTCCGCGAACCGGATTCTGCATCTTCCCGGAAAAGCAGAGGTAAGCGGACGTGGGAATCCCATAAAACAGGCAAAACCCCTCACTCCGTACCCGGTAATACCCCCCCCCACCCCTTCGTTCCTTTATCTCGCTCCTCAACACACGTGCTTCTGACCCACAAACTCACGTGCGCTCAGCCCAGTGCCTTCGGGACGTCCTCCCGACGTGAAAGGCGCCCTCCGAAAAGAGAAGCGAGTTTTCTCCCTCGCCCCGTGTCGCGGCCGACAAATCCACCCCAAAATAAAATGGGTCGTTAACTCCATAAGTAGGAACTCGGGGGATCGCTTTCTGGGGCTAATCATCCCCTTCCACCCCCCCCCCCCCACCCCAAGTATAATTTGGTCGCTCAATCCACGACAGTTTGTGGGGATGCCGCTGTGGGGCAATTGGCTGCTGCGTTTCGTCCACAAAATACACAGTCACTACACTTTACGGAAACTCCTCGCTGACGAGACGTTAAACTGAGCTCCACAGCTCCCGCAGCACTGTTCGAAAAGACAAGGGAGTTTCTCTCTCTCTCTCTCTTCCGCCCACTGTCCTGTCCTGGTCAACAACCTCCCCCACCACCACATAAAAAATGGGGGTCATTCAATCCACGACTGTTTGTGAGGGGGAAGGGGGGCGGGGAGGGGAACGGGACCCTACTGCGCGCAATCGGCTGTCGCGTTTCGTCCACAAAATACGCAGTCACTACACTTTGCAGTATATTCGTAGACACGTCTCGATGATGCGATAAGGCAAACAACAACAACAACTTGTGCCCTTGGGGGGCGAGGGGGGTGGTGGGGAGGCGGGGTTGGGGGGGCGAGGGGGGTGGTGCGGGGAGGAGGGGTTGGGGGGCGCGAGGGGGGTAGTGGGAGAGGGGGGGTTGGGGGGTCGAGGGGGTGGTGGGGAGGGGGGGTTGGGGGGGGGTGATGGGGGAGGAGGGGTTGGGGGGCGAGGGGGGTGGTGGGGGAGGGTGGTTGGGGGGTCAAGGGTGGGTGGTGGGGAGGAGGGGTGGGGGGCGAGGGGGTGGTGGGGGAGGGGTGTTGGGGGGTCAAGGGTGGGTGGTGGGGAGGAGGGTTGGGGGGGGCGAGGGGTTGGTGGGGGAGGAGGGGGGGGGGGCGGGGGGTAGTGGGAGAAGGGGGTTGGGGGAGCGAGGGGGTGGTGGGGGAGGGGGGTGTTGGGGGGCCAGGGGGTGGGGGTGGGGGTGACGGTGGGCACAGTCTGTACCAAACGCAAGGAGTGCTATGATGATTGCGGTGGTTATTGTCTCGGCCTCACTGGACGTTTGCTGCCACAGGTTCCCAGGTGTGGTCCCCAGCTCCTAGACCTGGCCACTGAGGCGAGTGGACCTTTCATGATGCCCCCTTGCCCACCCCAGCAGGGCAGAGCCCTGGTGTCTCACCCGCTTCAACCCGAGACGGAGCAGGGCCATGGGGTGGAGGTGGAGTTGAGTTGGCAGGAGCTGATGTCGATCGCGGAGCTGCAGGTAAGTTCGGAACAATATTGTTTATTTGTTTGTTTGTTTATTTGTTTATTTGTTTGTTTGTTCGCTCGCTCAGCTGGTTGCGTCTGACACCTGCCGAAACCCCTCACCCCTCTCAAGAGTATCATGACCCTGGCGTTTGACGCAGCGCTTCATCACTTCGTCGAGACGTCTCAAAGCGCTTCGCAGGACGCACTGTAAAGCGTAGTGACCCAGAGCGCTTGGCAGTGGCGGAGCGTGACCCTGAGGGGGAGGGGGGGAGGTGACCGTAGGCGACTGGTCGAAGAGGGAGGTCTTCAAAGCGCGACCTGGAGATAAGGGAAGGAAGGGGACGAGACAGAGGGAGAGTGTGACAGAGTTTCGGGGCGTAAACATGGAAATCCAACAGATAGATTGTTGGAATGGAATGCGCTCTCTCTCTCTCTCTCTCTCCCCCCAGAGGGACGCCTCCTGCTTACCTAATTCCAGAGAGTATTAGGCGCAGGTTGGTGGTGGGGGGAAGCCCAGAGTGTACGTTGGGGTAACTGCTGGAGTCTAACCAGCTAAACCCACACACAGCTCGGCCATTGAGAGAGAAAGAGAGAGAGAGAGAGAGAGCTTCTGGCTGAGCTTTCCCGCTGCCAGGACCCCCCTCCCCGCCAGGGCTTTGGCTGCAGTGTTAACGGGAGCTGAGTGGGGCGGGTTCTGAACGTTTAGGTTGACTCGGGTACGTAGGTTCCGAACAATGAACTCATTCAGGGGCTGAATGGTGATGGGGGGAGTGCGGGGTGTGGGTGTGGGGGGGGAGAGAAATAGGTGAAGGGATCTACAGAGAATGAAACATTGCCTGTTCTGGACTAAAGAGATGTGTCATTGTTCTGCCGGAGTATCTCTGTTGCTCATCTGCACTGAGATCTTGTTCTGCGCTCACTCACACTGCGCTGCCTAATCTCACTCCCCCCTCAATCCCTTGCGATAACTCCCAGCGCACATTTTAAAAACAATTAGATATTCTTTTCGACGCACAGCGCGGTGGTTAGGATCCCGGCAAACATGTTCGCAGGTAATCTCTGTCAGCGTAATACATACAGTAATCCTTGCATTCGATACGGCACCTTGTCACGTCATCGAGACGTCTCAAATACCGCCTGGGATTTTGACTGTGAAGTGTAGTAACTGTGTGTTTGTAGGCTTAACAGGGCAGCCCATTTGTGAAAAGTACCGTCGTGTAAAAAGCCATGAAGGGAGCGACCAGTTTTATTTGGGAGGGGTGGGGGGGGTGGGATTTGTCAGAAACTCCCTTCGCTTTAGGAATAGCGCTGCGAGATCTTTAACGTCCCCCCACCCCGTGAACAGGCAAACTGGGAGTGAGGTCTAACGACTCATCTGAAGGATGGCATCGGAGTGTCAGCCCAGACTGGTAGCGCGAAGTCCCAACTTGGGGCGCGAACCCACAGCTTTTCTGACTGACACCTGTAAGCACTGGATTTGCGGGTGAAAGGCTGGAGAGTGAACAGACTCCCACACACGTACACCGCAAACAACCGGTTAATTGGAGGGTAGTTGGCACTGGTCGAAGAGGAAGGTTTTCAGGCACCACCTGAAGATGGGGAAGGAAGGGGGGGGGCGAGGCGGGGGGATAGAGGGAGAGAGTTCCAGAGTTGTTTCGTATGGAGCAAAGCAGGAGCCGGTGTTTGGGACCGAGAAGGGAGTTTTCTCTGTTGCCGGGAGCACAATGGCTTAATTGTGTCGCGGTATCAGACCTGTGGAACGACATGGGAAACGCAGACAAAAGGACATTGAGAAGCAACACACATCCATCGCGAGCAGCTTACTGAGGAATTCTCCTGCCTCGCCTGTCCTTGCAGGTTACACAGGGCTTTAAAATCGTTTTAACGATAACAGTCCTTGCATTTGATATACTACCTTATCACTGATCAATTTCCACCCACGTGGAATTGCAGTGAAGTGGAGTGACTGTGTGTTTTGAAGGCAAACGCAGTAGCAGCGAGTCTGCTCGCAGCAATAGTGTCCTGCACCCAGACATGAGGTGAGCAATCAATCTGTAGAATAAGGAAACCAGATAGAGAAACTCCCTTCTCTTTTTCTAACAGCTTCGAGACCTTTAGCACTCACTTGAACAGGTAGACTGTGGCTCGGTTTAATACTAATATAATAATAATAACCTTACATTTGCTATAGCGCCTTATCATGTCTTCGAGACGTCTCAAAGCGCTTCACGGGATATACTGTAAAGTGTAGTGACTGTAGTGAATTTTTGTGGGTGGAACCCGGCAGCCAATTGCGCACGGAAGTCGCCCACAGACAGTTCGTGGCTTGAAGTGGCCAAATTATTCTTGCTATGAATTATTATAATTATTAATTATTATTACTGAATAACTCTCACCCCAAGTGAGAGGTCAAAATGGACGGAGATTATTTATCATTTAATTTTTTTTCGCAAAGTTATGAAATGCCTCGGAGATAGATGGGTGAATGTTGCGTGTTTCAACTGTGGTCTCCTTTCAGCTGCTTTTCGTCTTATCAGACACCGCAATCTCACACGGTGTCCGTTCCTCTGGTCACTGCAGGACGCGTGCAGAACCAGATAAGATCCCAGCAGCGCAGTAGAGCAGGAAGTGAGAGAGCGAGAGAGCGAAAGAGAAGGGGAGAGAGAGAAGAGAGAGAGGGAGAGAGGTTCTACGCTCACCCACTTGCGGTGGTGGTGGCAGAGAGTTCCAGTACCAAACCTCCCTCCCTCCAGTTCAACGAGGGGGTAATAATCCCTTCCTAAAAACAAACAAAAAAGAACGTTTAAAAAAAATAATAATACTTTGGTCGGTCTCTTCAATCCGCGCCTGTTGGTGGGGACGCTGCCGCGTTTCGCCCACAAAATGCACAGTCAAGTCACTTTAAGGTATATCCTTAAAGTGTGGGGTCCTGAAGCTCAGTGGTTAGAGCACTCGCTTTGCAAGTGAGAGACCTGAGTTCAATTCCAGGCAGAGGGCGAAACCTTGGGCAAGTTTCCTTACTCCACACAGAGCCTAATAATAATCCTCCAAAACCAAAAACAATAATAAATTGGTCATTTTCAATCCACGACTGTTTGAGGGACATTGCTGTGCGCAATTGGCTGCCGCGTTCACCCACAAATATACAGTCAATCCACTTTACAGTGTGTTCTGTGAAGCGCTTTGGGAAGTCCTCCCGACGTGAAAAGCGCTGTATCAAATGCCAGGATTATTATTATAGTTGGCTACAAGGGTTAACAGACATCGTAGTTGTGATGTAAAGTGTGTTTTGCCTCCGACACAGGGTCTCAACCTACACGAGAACATGAATGAAACGATGTATTACAACAGCGCTCAGCTTGCTGTACACGGGGGAGGATATGGCCTGGGCACCTTCAGTGCTGTTGGTGATGACATGATGTCCAGCTCAATGCCAGGGTGTAGCCACAGCTTCCTGCCCATATACGACAGGGGCTTCTCAGGGGCAATGCCAACCCACAGCCAACGCCTTCACCCTTTGACAGCCCCCGCCAGCTTGGGGAACGTGGACACTGATTTCGAAGCCTTGGGTCTTGCAAGGATGCCAATGTCTTGCACCAGCCAGCCTGGGACGAGCACCATGGGCCAAGGCAACATGAACTTGTCTCTCCCTGGCCTGTTGAACGACACTTTGCTGGAGCACATGGTACAATTGGGCATCAATGAGGGCTTTGCTGGCAACCCACCGGGCAAAAGGCAGGAGGACTTGGAATCGGACTCTGGGCTATCTCTGGACTCCAGCCCTGCCCTCGCTTCTCCAGTGAACTCCACCGGATCCGTTCTGATTGGGGATGGCTCCCTTACCTACAGCGATGCAGAATCGCTGGACGTGGAAGGGATGGAGTATGGGAGGCTACGATCGGAGAATGCTGAGATGTACCCAATGGACTTCCACATGCACCCCCACTACCGGGTCCTCCCCTCCATCCAGCACATGTCAACCATGTCAGTGTATCAAATAGAGCCATCAGAGACCCCGCCAGGCTTCACCGGACTCCTGGGCAATAACAGGGCTCAGTACGTGCCAAGCAAGCGTGCCAACCGAGACACCAGTCTGAGCCGGGACCAGCGAAGAGCTTTCAACCTGAAGATCCCTTTCTCCACGGACGAGATCATCAACCTGCCGGTGGATGATTTCAACGAACTCTTGTCCAAGTACCAACTGGCCGAGCCTCAGCTCGCCCTGATCAGGGACATCCGACGGAGGGGCAAAAACAAGGTGGCTGCTCAGAACTGCCGCAAGAGGAAACTGGACAACATAGTCCACTTGGAGCACGACTTGAATCACTTGAAATCAGAGAAGGACCAACTGGTGAAGGAAAGGGTTGAATTTAACCGGACACTGTGTCTCATGAAGCAGAAGTTGAACGAACTCTACCGTCAAGTCTTCACCGTGCTACGAGACGGCAACGGTCACCCCTACTCCCCCGAAGAGTTCTCTCTCCAGCAAACTAACGATGGCAGCATCTTCATCGTTCCACGCGGCATGAAAGAAGGGAAGGATTGAGGTGCAGAGAGAGAGAGAGAGAGAGACCGAGCGAGAAACAGCTTGTCCAACCAATTTCCGAGTATTTATTTCTTTTATTGAATGGTGATATAAAAAAAAATGTTTATTTCCACTCGACTATGCAATGTCTCCAGTGGAAATCCATCAATGGAAAAACGTTGGAAGCTCTTTCTAACTGGAGTAGCTTTTCTTGATATATTTTTTTATAAGAGACAATGTCAAAATTACAGGTAAAAACTCAAGAGCTCTCTCTGCTATAATTATGATCCGTTTTAAATGATGTAGCAAACAGCTAGTTGCTGATAGGGAACCAGACGCGGCGTCATGTCGCTACAGCAGTTAGAGTGCTCGCCTCGCAAGCGAGAGGACCCAGGTCTGTTTCCCGGGCGGAGCAAAAGCTTAAAACAAGCTTTCTTACTCCGCACCCCTCTGTTTACCCATCAGGAAGTAGGAACCCAATTAGTCGATTGCCGATCGCTTTCCCGGAGTAATAATCCCGGCAAAAAAATATGCGGTCACTCAATCCACGACTGGATGTGGGACGCTGCTGTGCGCAATTGGCTGCTGCATTTTGCCAACAAATAGTCACTTCACTTTCCAGCATATTCTGGGAAGCGCTTTGAGACATTTCGACGACGTGATAAGGCGCTGTATCAAATGCAAGGATTGTCGTTCTTCCTGTGTGCTAAGATTTTCTGTACCGTCGTTTTAGTTCAATTATTGCTTCTCCCTCTCGGTTACTTATAAGGCAAAAGTTTTGCATCGCTGTTGATTGTAAATGCGCAGAGGCAGCAATATCTCAAGAGAGATAGTGTGGAGATGAAGAGTTCTTAGCCTTCAAGAACTATCTTGATGTAAACCCTCCTCCGGATGTATTACTTCCCATTAATGTGAGTGCTCTCGCTCCCCCCAGTGGTTCAGATCTAATAATAATAATAATTTGGTCACTCAATCCATGACCGTTTGTGGCCACATTTGACGCACAAAATAGTCAATTCACTTTACAGTATAATCTGTCAAGAGTTTTGAGAGGTGATAAGGCACTAGATCAAATGCAAGGATTATAATTATAAAAAAAATCAACCTCACCATGAGGTATTTGGTCATTTCATCCACCCACCGAAACAAAAACCCCCCCCTGCAAGTCATGTTTCATTGAATATTAGTACTTGCATATGATTATGGTGCCATTAACTTTGAAAGGCACTTTACAGCGATCTCAGTTCTTGTAGGCAAACATTTGCACCTGGTTCGTGAACAGTTATGAAGCAAATGACCAATTTTTCTGGAGGATTGAAAGCCGCGACACCTGGAGAAACTCTCTTCCCTTTACCAATCACATTGCGCTATTTTTAAAATCCATCTGAACAGGTAGACTGGACCTTGATTTAACGCCTGTACCTCCAGACAATACAATGCTCCCAGTGCTGTGCTGGTGTCGGGTTGGACTGGAGGCTTAAAGGGTTCCCGAGAGCACAGACCAAGATAAAGACCCAAGAACAAAATTATCCCATCATCCAAATTAGATATAAAAGGCCGGAGGAGCCGATCACAAATAAATAACTTGCTCTCTGAAGATTCAGGTGACAATTAGGATGTTTCCAGCTTTGCTCTGTTTGCAACTCCCAACAGAACCCATCACTGTGTATCCTCAGCTTTAAACAAACACGGGCTCGATCGCCCTACAATGAGAGTGGCTGGGTATTCCTGAATAACAGGTGATAATTACAGCTTCCTTGCATCGATATTTGTGTCGAGTGTGATTTTCCTCCTGCACAGACGGCTCCCAGTGCCCACTCAAGTCTGCCTCAAACCCACAAAGTCAGCAAAGGTTTCATAAAGTGGGCCATATTACACTAAAACACCCAGTTGTGCTCTATAAGGGCATTTATCTCACTTTCGGGTTCAATTGAGTTTGGAACTCCTGTGTTAAAATTCAGGCTGCAAGTTTCTCATCCTATATACAAACCACCTTGATCTGACCCGAACCGGTTGACATCAAGCCCACCAACTTCAAATGTACTGAAGCAAATTATACAGTGTTCAAAGCACGAACTGTAATCCTGTTTTATAAATTATGCATAAAATACCATCAGGAAAATAAAGTTTATAAAAACGATGACAACGCACATTTCTAAATCAGACGCTTAAGCTTTCCATCCATTCACCACCAGGGTAATAAGGTTTAGTTTACAAAGCCTTACACTTCTAGAGGTAGCTCAGCAGAGATGGGATTATTGATTAACCCGGTTATTAGTCAATTGGCAGATCACTTTCCCGGGGATAATAATTCCTTAAAAAAAAATGTGAACCACAACACTGCACAATTGGTTGCCATGTTCGGACCACAAAATAGTCAATTCACTTTACACTATATTCTGAGAAGTACTTTTGAGACATCTCACAAATGTGATAAAGCGCAATATCAAACGCAAGGATCATCTTCAGAGAGGAACTTGGCACAGCCGGCAGCCAGGAAATGAGACGACAAACTCACATGAACTGTAAATGATTAAATCACAGTGCAGGTTTGAGCACTGCATCCTATAAATATTATCGCTATTACTAAAAACCTTTTCGTACAACCTACTGCAACTTTAGGAAAGCAGAGATGACCAGATGCCAAATCTGCACTCAAAATAATCTCTAGGATTAGAAATTCTCAAGAAATGGTTTCTTTTTTAAAAATTGTGATAGCACAACATTTAGAGAGATGCACGTGAATGTTAAGTTGCCCGAGCAATCTTAACCATTCCAAGGTGTTTCCTACCTTATGAAGGGGAGAAAAAACAACCCCCAGTGGTTCACGGCAACAACTTCAATGCTAATTAATGCAGTGGGATGGGCTGTCCCACTGCACATTTACTTTACATAATGCATTGTACATACCTCTGAGTGGAATATGCTATGTAGTCCAAACTAAAAAGTAATAATTATAATATTGTGCCAGTAACAAGTTGCTTTCAGCAGAATGGGACACAAACATGCTTTTAAATAAAACTGTTTGTGGGGCATTGCTGTGTGCAATTGGCTGCCGCGCTCGCCCACAAATATAGTGAATTCACTTTACAGTATATTCTGTGAAGCGCTTTGGGACGTCTAGAAGACGTGAAAAGCGCTATATCAAATGCAAGGATTATTATTATTTATTAGGTGCTTAAATAATTTACCTACGACTCAACTAGAGTGAAAAGGGTACCACTGACCAAGTACAGCTTGGATCCAAACTAGGATGAAACCTGCCCAATGCAATTATCTAAAGCAACATTTATTGCTAGACTTTTGAAGACAAGTGTTGAAATGAAGTGCTTGACAGAGTAGATCAAGTTTTACTCTGCCGCTGACAAGACTGAGATTAATGTTGACGGTGTCCATTTGGCAACCAAGTATTTAAAACACACAAGACAAATGTTTAAGATGCTTTTAATAAAAGCTACTAAACTGCTCAGCAGTTATGAAATACACAGCATTCAAATTCTTTGCACAGAGAAGTTGTTCCACTGAACACAGGAAACTTATGGTGGGCATTTGAAGAGTCCAAAATGCTCGAACCTGGAAGAGAATTTAGAGGGTTTTTATAAAAAAAATCTTCCCAACAGTGACTGCAGAATACTGTACCATGGCGCTTAGCCAAGGGAGCAATGCATCAGATTGTGGTAAAACATCAGCTGAGGACTGAAACTGTCACCCCAATATTCATCCTGCACTTTATGCATGTGGTAACCAGTTACCTGGATTAAACTATCCTGAGCATTCAGACATTCCAACTGGAGTCTCAATACCACTTGAACCACCACTGCCCTATGAAGGGGTGACGTAGGCTGATTGACCTCTCCCGCAAGGGGAAAAGAGCAGTCAAAGCACCAAAGAGTATTTCCCCACTCGTCTTCTAGACTGACCCCAAGAAGACGGTGATTCCGGAACCGATTCACCATACCTTAGAACAGGTATCAAATGACGTGCTTCCTCAAAGCCAATATCACTCCAGTTGCGATGAGACCAATTAACCTGCAAGTACAAGAGAGTGCGTCAGTTCTGATAAACGTCCACAGTGGCCCTTTGAGCTGCACTGCTAAATTCTCCTGTAATATGTAATAGATAAAACACCTTACCTATGGGTAACCTTGCCTTTGCTCTGCAGATCTGCCTGCCTGTGCTATTAGCAAGGCTGCTAGCCCTCAATAGCTAGCCTTCCAAGGAGGTCGACGCTACACCTTCAGCCCTCAGCTAGCCTCCAGTAACACGGTTGCTCTTATAGCATAAGCTGGCTTGCCCTTTCGGTGATGCACTCTCGTAGTCATTTTCTCTGTCTACACAAGCTGCCTCCGCTGTAGAACTCGAGGTCCTGCCTGGGTTCCATATCCACCTTCAGCCCCTCAAGACTATCAAGGCTAGCCTCCAGACAGATGGCTTTCTTAGCATAAGCTGGCTGGCTGTCCCTCTCCGTTGATGCACTTGCAGCCATTTTGCTGACTACACAAGCTGACTCCTCTGTGTACTTCCGAAGTAATCCCTGTTAGGTATCCAGAGTCCATGCCTTACTGTTGCAATATAAAACTTTCCATGTTAATCCTTCCAAAAGCTACATTCACATTATAGAAGCTAAGTTTGCACGACAAAAAAAAAGGAAGTGGCTAAACACAGCAAGAGAGAAAACAGGGCAAACACACACAAATCCTACCTGGATTTGGATCTGTTGCCTCTCCAAGTGTCTGCACACTATTTTACACTAGGATTACGCTGCAGCCAATAAGGCAATGTGAATGTAGCTTAAATTGCAAACACCTTATTGAAAGAACAGTCCACATTCAGGTTCCTCCAACTTATCCTTCTGTACTATAACTTCAAAGATAATCCACAGGGCGTCACATATAAAGGCAATTGTGCACCAATTAATACACTACTGAAACCGACCCATGCTAACACTGGTCATGTGGACTATAGAATCATAAGTCGATTGGGATTTAAGTGCTCAATTTGTGAGTTATTTGTAAAGTTACAGTACACAGGAATACACTGATAACGATTGGTTTACACGTATCCCCCTCAGACTCGACCAGCCAACAGGCTAAGTTGCCTGTTTGTAGTACTCAAGTTTAGAACCAACTGCCAGTGTAATGGCAAGATCCCTCACATGAGAATTCCAACTGATCCATTCCAATTACATACAGCCACACTTCAGGCAAGTGGAACCCTGAATGCCAGAGTACAATTCCACCACCATGCTATGGAAACTTGCACAAATGGCAGGTAGTGGGAAAGGAAGACAGGACTGACTGATGCTTTTGATCTAAAGCAACTACAAAATTGATATTTAATGATCACTCATTACTACATACGAATTATATCAAGATGGGACTGCAATGCTGAACATGCTCCCAATGACATTTACAATATACTTGCACGCATTACCTGCATAGGCAAATAGAACCTCTCACACACTTTGTGCATTCACTTGTTGCCTTACAAACCAAGCTTAAGACTACAGAAAGGTCAACAGAACACCTTGGTTGAATTTTGAGACTGCCAATTGGACCTTTACAAAACTAATTCAGTAATTAGGTAAGGCAGACAATTCCAATGCAAAACAATGCTAAAGGAATGGGGTTCGATATAAGCTTCCTCATCAAAAACGCTGCCATTTTTCTGCCAATGTGCCTTTTCTGAGACACCATTGCATGTAATTTATTGTGCTTTTGTGATAGCATGACCCCTCCCACTGGCTAGTCTTGGAAATCAGGAGCTACCAGTCCTATTTCTTCCCCCCCATTGTGGCACACGAGTTGGGTGTTTGGGGACAACAAATTCAGACTTGTTTTCTCAAAAAAAGCTCAGGTGGTTACATTAAACCACCTGAGGTTTCCGAGAGAAATTCTGGATCAAACAACTGTCCGTTAACCTTCAATAAGGATGGATACAATTTTAACTTGTAAACAAATATTACAATAATCTACCTTAACACTGTATTCTTAATCAAGACAGACTTAACTACATGCTAAAAATGGAAAGTTCTTTATTCTGAGTGTCATAATCACAACTAATACAGTTAGATATCACTTGAAACTGGTGCAAATAAAAGCCAAAGACGAAAACATTTTCTAGAATAAAAACTCACTGGAATGTTCATTTTACACTTCCAGGAAAATCACCAATAAACTACAAAGTAACCTGTTTTAACAGTTATTCAAATACCAACATAGTCCTTATGCAGATATCCATGCATTTGGATTTTTTTCCTTTAAAAAGTTCAAGTTCAAACACTGACTCTTCTGACTAAAAAGACATTTTCTTCCAGTAGCAGTTGTAACCTGCCACAAATGTGCTTGGCTGAGATTTGTATTGTAGTAACCTGCTGTCTCTCCCTGTCACAATCTCCTGGCTCATCCTCTCCTGCTAAGTACTGTATTCCTGTTGAACAACATGGGATAAGATTATTATATCGTGCACTGACTCAAACATGTTTTAACACTGCATAGATTAAAAGGGAAATATCCTGTGGCCAAATCCATTTAAACTGTCACTTTCTATTCCAGGCAAAGAGCAACTATACCTAAAAGGCATGAGGATGAACATGGTCACTGATGGATAATCTGTTCTATCAGAACATTCAAGCACCACAGCTTTCTGGGTGGCATATGCATTTATAACTCACCAATCCAAAGCTCAGCAAATACACTAATCAATCATGAGAAAGTGGAACAGGACATGTCCAATGAATGGATCCTGCCTCTGAAGTCCTAAGTTCCTAATTGACTTTCCCTACATAAGCTTGTTTCAATGCAATCTAATCTAACTTGCTATTTTAACTCCTACCACCTCTCTGCTAGAGAGATGGCTGAAACATTTCAAGTGACCAAACTCACCCAGTTAGGTTTAGTTGCCCTTTAGGATATTGTTTGATTCTGAGCATCTTAATAAATAGTAATCTGAAATTCATTTACATCTAAATTCAGATCTATGCTAGATGCCACATCTTCTGAAGCAAAATTCAATATAAACGTGTGCTTATAGGGCAGTTGAATATGTATTACTAAGAGATTAATAAACACCATGGTAGCAACTAATCTCTGAAGATAGTTTTGCCACTGACTTCTTTACCTGCTCCAAATCCCAGGAAACTGATAAGACTTTACCCGACGATAGAAACTACCTTACACTGACTGTTAGTATCTTTGTAAATGCTTCCTTCTTCTGAAGTACCTGAACAAGTAAGTTTGATGATCGTTTCTATAGACTTGACTACAGTACAACTCACCTTTAGTCAATGGAGACTTTAGAACCTCCTTCCAAAACCTCCACTGCCACCACCACCTCCACCACCAGAGCCACCATACCCTCCTATTACAAAAGAAAACATTCAAGTTACATACATTGGATGCAGGCCTCAGAACTAATGTGCATTCAAAAAATGGCCACGATTGGCTAACCCAAAACACCACATGGAAGTTCTGTAGTTAACTCTGTCCCATTGTGTATACTCACCACCATAGGGGCCACCGGAGTTCCTGCCACCTGCATAGCCACCACCTCCTCCACCACTACCACTCTTCATAGGCCCATAGCTGGACTGCTGCTGGTTAGGGTAGTTCCCAAAGTCATTGTAGCTGCCACCTCCACCACCACCAAAGTTTCCTGTGGTGCAAACAGGTATCAGTCTCAACAATTTTTTTTTACCCCCTCCGCCCCCCCACCCCATTCAGCCAAACCAGGTTACACCCCGTTCGCCATTAAAATCATTTACCACTGCTACCACTGAAGTTGCTCCCATTGTAGCCATCATAGCTACCTCCACCTCCTCCGCCACCTTGACTGCCGTAGCCAGGGCCGCCTCCATACCCACTGCCACCTCGGTTACCACCATAACCACCACCGCCATAGCCACCACCTGCATTGAGAACATCAAGACATTTGTGAGCAGCCAAATAGATCATTCACAATAAGTAGGCTTTAGTTCTTTCTAACTTGCAGAAAGATCTCAAATTGGCATACCATCACCAAAACCATTGTATCCATCACCACAGCCACCATAGCCGCCACCTCCTCGGTTGCCTCCAAACCCACCTGTAAAAGCATTACAGAGAAATTCAGAACTCCCTAATTTAGAGTAAAAATCAAATGTAATGACATCCACAGGAATCAGATTTAAGATTAGTAACCAACTTGATCGAAAATTTCATTTCACACCCTTCAACTACCTGGCCCATCTTTTGATCTACTTTCGGCAACAGCACAAGCTTAATCAGTGCAAAAGCACACCAATACCCAGCGCCTTGGGATGTCCTCCCAACAAGAAAGGTGCCATACAAACATAAAATTATATTGCAATACTCACCTCCACCTCTACTGTAACTCCCACCACGGCCAAAGTTACCGCCACTATTGCTAAACTGGCCACCACGGCTATAGTTGCCACCTCCGCGGTCTGCAAAGAAAAGAAATCGGTTAGTACTCACGTTATCTACAAATTAATGCAGTCCAGCTGAATTTTTTCAGGACCATAGTGAATATTTACTTCTCTGGTTCATGCCTGAATTCTGCATCTCTTCACGTGATAGCGCCTTCCGCACTTCACAATTGTGTCCGTTGACTGTGTGGTACTTTTGAACTGAAGGAAAAAAAATCAAAACAGAAGTTAGCCAATTGCAGCTTGGAAAATTTATAGAAAGGCTCATGAGATGAACCCATAAAAATCCATAGATCTAAACGCAAATACTCACCAACAATCTTATCAACTGCATCGTGATCATCAAATGTAATGAAAGCAAAACCCCTCTTCTTTCCACTCTGGCGATCAGTCATCACCTCAACAACTTCAATTTTACCGAACTTCTCAAAATAGTCCCGAAGGTGATGCTCCTCAGTATCTTCCTTAATGCCACCGACAAAGATTTTTTTGACGGTGAGGTGTGCACCAGGCCGAGTGGAATCCTAAAAAAAATAAGTAAAAAACAAATGGAGTAAACACCAAGCCTCGGCAAAATATTGAGAAATCAAATGCCAATGCTACCACTTTACTTACCTCTCTCGAAACAGCCCTCTTAGGCTCCACAACACGGCCATCTACTTTATGGGGTCTGGCAGACATGGCTTCATCGACCTCAGAAACACACGAATACGTAACAAACCCAAAGCCTCTGGAACGTTTTGTCTGTGGGTCCCTCATCACCTGAACAGCAGAAGAATAATTCAATCACCCTAGGGTCAAATCTTGCAACAAGAGCAAGACACTCAAAACAGCACAACAAGAACAACGGACAGGAAGGAGAGTCAAACGAGGTACAAACGGCACAAATTACAAATAGCCCTTACCACACAGTCGGTCAGTCTCCCCCATTGCTCAAAATGCGTTCGGAGGCTATCATCTGTGGTTTCGAAGCTTAAGCCCCCAATAAAGAGCTTGCGCAGCTGCTCGGGTTCCTTCAAGAGTTAAAAAAAAACAGACACGGTCAGAAAAACAAAAAAAAGTATTTCCTCTTTTAAAAAAAGTAATCGATTGAAAGAGGTGATCAAGAAAGGCTTCCGGGCGGGGCAATGGAGAACATGCAAAATCAAAAAGAAAAGGCACCGAAAAGCTCTTTATATCAAACGGGGGACTGAAAAGGGCCGAGTCCTGCAGCCGCGTGTTAAACACACACTCACACATATACACACACACATATGTATACAATCTGTATTTTTAATTTTAAAAAAAGACTTAATGTGAAATGGTTCCTTCGCGAGGGGGGGGGGGGTGGGGGAGCACGTGGCGAGACCTAAAATGGGCCCTTTTTAGAAAAGTCGGATCACTGCAATTAACCCCACCCACCCCCCCTCTCTCTCTCTCTCCCCCCCCCCACCCTAAAAAAAAACACCCACACAATTAACACAGGCAACGATTAAAGAAACGCACAAATAAATGCTGGTGCGACCTCAACACGCACAAAATCTATCACAAAAAGAGAAAGCGGGATGGATGGAAGCACGCGGCCAGGGGCTGAACACCCCCCAACCACTCCCGACAAAGGGGTGGGAGAGAGAGAGAGAGACGGGAAAAAGCGGGAGGGAACACAATGGGGGCTCCCGTCTGGAATGAGGCGTTTCCCGCCCTGTTCGGCGTGTGGGGGAAGGGAAGGGAGAGAGGGTGAGAGAGAGAGAGGGGGGGGGTCGGGCACACAAAGGAAATGGGTGGGGGGGGGGGGAGAGAGAGAGCAACGACCTCTGGAAAAAGCCTCGAAAAACCTCTCATGAACGAACAAACAAACAAACGCTCCCCCTCTCGCCCCCCCCCCCCGCGCCGAAAAAAAAACGGCGGCCTCGACGCGAAAAAAAGCGTCCGGGGAGAGGGCGCGGGTGTCACCTGGTGAAGGGGGGGCCATCGGGGGAGGGGGGGGGGTACATAAACCACGCCACCATTTCATGGCTCCCCGTAGCAGAGCCATTGGGGTGGTGGGGGGAAGGGGAGGTGGGTGGAAGAGCGAGAGGGAGCGAGCGCGAGAGGAAGAGCGGGCGCCATTTTAGCTCTCGCCCCGTCGCCTACTCCACACACCCCCCACCCCAGTAAACCGTGAGGGGACGGGGGCGGCCCGGAGCCGTCCGGCGCGTCGCCACCGCGGCGTTTTGGTCGGGGGGTGGAGGGACGACGCTCTCGAACCCCCGGCGCGTGCGAGTGAGATTCCCCGGGGGCCGCCGCCGCGGCCGAGCGAGAGAGAGAGCGCATGAGGCTCTTAATGGCGGACGCTCGCCGCACATTCTTTCTGCGTCACGTTTGATGGCCGCCTCGCACGGACACCGAAGGTGATGCTTTTCTCCTTCCCCACACGCGGTGGGAAACCCTTCTTTACTTCACGATCGCGCGCTTGTTTTATTTCCAGCGCGTTTTCCGAGCTCTTACCTCCATGTTCTCAATGATTGCGATTTTCCCTCCCCACGAGGTTGACGGACGCTACCTGCACAAAATGGTTCCAGCGAGAGACTGGCTCGAGTGAGCGCGCTCCGACAGCCCCCTTCCCTATCCCAGCCCCCTCCCCGCGGTCCCGCCTCCGGCCCGCTCTCCGATTGGCCAGCCCCGCGCGGTTCAAACCAGGCGCCGCGCCGCCTGCCCCGCTGATTGGCCGACGGCGCTGTCGATTCATCGACGCGACGCCCACGTGACCCGACGTCAACCGCCGCCGTTTGACGTCGTCGCCCTCAACCCCCATCCCAACTCCTCCTCCTCCCTCTCTCTCTCTCTCTCCCCCCCCACCACCATCACACACACACACAAACACACGAGCAAACCGACAAAATGTCTTTTTAATCAACGAACGCACTGGTTCAGCGTTTCCTTCTCTCCCCCCCACCCACCTCCGGCCGCTCGTGTGCGTGATTTTTTTTTAAAAAAGAGAAGTTGAGCTGCCGCCAGGTGCGTGGCGTGTTCTGCGCGAGGAGACGGACGCGTGTGCGCTTGCGCGGCGGCGGCGGGTGGCAGTGGTGGCGGCGGTGGGGGAGGGGAAAGACGAGGACTCGGCGGCGCCTGCGCGGTGGGGCCTCGGCGTTTTGGCGGGTTTACGCAGAACCGGGAGGCGGCGGCAGCGGCGAAAATTTTTTTTAGTGAAGCGTCCGTCCGTCCTGTGTCTGCGCGCGTGAGTGTGTGTGTGTGCGTGTGTGTGTGAGAGAGAGAGAGACACACACACACACAGGGAGTGGGGGGGAGGGGGGGGGTGAGGTGAAAGGAGAGAGAGCGTTTTTTTTTTGCGCGAGCGCGCGCGCGCGAGAGAGAGAGAGAGAGAGAGAGCCTCTTCTCGCTCCGGTAGCGGATTTTCACCCCTTTCGAGGAGTAGGAGGAGGAGGAAGAAGAAGAAAAAAGGAGAGGAGGAAGAAAAAAAAAGGTGCTGGTTTGGGTGTGGGGAGGCGGGGTGGGGGGGGGGGCTGCCATGTTTATTGTGTGGCGCGTAAAGCGGGAGAGAGAGAGAGAGTGGGGGGGGTGGAGTGAGCGGGAGACAGACAGTGGGCCGCGTGATTGACGGGCGCCCGGGCCAATGGCGTGCGAGGGAGCGTTTGAACCGCCGAGGCGCCGTGGTCGCGCAGCCAATCGCCTGGGGGGGAGGAGGCCGGACTTCCGTCCTTCCCTCCCCTCCCCCCCCGCTCTGATTTTCCTGTCGAGTCTGTTTATTCAATGGCTGAGTGCGTGCGGTGGGGGGGTCTGCGTGGGGCTCGCTTCTGGAAGCTTCCACAGGACGTTTCAGAAAGTGATGCGCGTCCAAACTTTGTGTGTTACTGCTTATTATTGGGGGGGGGTATGTGTGTGTGTGGGGGGGGGTCGGGGGGGGGGGTTACTTGCGTGGCCTGAAAGGCGGCTCAGACGATAAGGAATGTTGAGGGGGGGGTGGTGTAGATTGAGGGGGGGGTGTAGATTGAGGGGGGGGAATAGTGTGGTTCAGAAAGATTTGGGGGGGGGGCGCCTTAAATGTGCCGAAAACGGTGCGATCGGGGGCCATATAATGGAAAAGGCTAAAAACTCTGTGGGGTTTCGCAGCCCCGGGACGTGCTCCTGTGAGGGGGGGGGAGGACGGGCTGTTGGGGCGGTTTATATGTTTTTATTCGCCGCCCCTGAGGCTGAGCGGGTTCTCGGCACTTTATTTTTTTTTGGGGGGGGGGAGAGAGATCCATCCGAGGGCAGCATTTGCGCTCGACTTAGCGTCGTCGCTGCCGTTCGAGGCGGTTCGGCACGAAGGCAGTGGTACCTTTTACTCTGCTGTGTGTTTTATATATTATATATATATATGTATATATATATATATGGCGATGGCTCCCAACAGTACGTTCGGAAAGGGGGAGTCATATTAAAAACACTAGAAGATTAAAGGTGAAACCTCGAGCCCATCACCCCCAACTGCCCTCTATTTCCTGTGGTGCTGTCTGTAACTCAAGTCTGCTTTCAATTTTACTCGCAAGGAAGCTCTCCCCCCCCCCCCCCCCCCCTCCCCCCCTCCCACACCCCCCCATCTCCATGAGACAAAAATACAAACGCGTCCAAATTTTGGCCGGAGTTGAAACCGACTGTGTGCCCCGCGGGTGAGAGTGCGGTCGGACCGTCCGTGTGGGTGCGGGACCGGCCCCCGGAATGCCGCGCCTCCGAACCGGGGGCTCCAGGGCAGTCCTTCTCGAAAGGCTTCAGAAGTAAAAAAAAAAGTGCAGGGATCGCTTTTGTGGGGCAGAGGAGAGGAGGGGAGAGGAAAGGAAAGCAGCCATTTTGCACCGGCAGAAGCCCACATTGTCAGGAGGAGGGGGTGAGCGGCCGATTTCAACCGAAGGAAACTTTTGTGTGTGTGTGTGTGTGTGTTTTTTTCGAATAGCGTTATGCGGTCTTTGACATCCAACGGGGGACCGGGGGGGGGGCACAGAGGGGGGGGGGGGGGACCCTGGCTTTCGTTTCTCGCCGGAGAGACAGTGTGTCTGATAATCTCGTACTGCATTAGATGGCCGAGTGGTGCTCAGGTCCCCCCCCCATGCGAGGTGTGGACCCCCCCCACACACACACACACAATTCCGACCCCCCCCCCACCCCCGGGAGGGAGACCTCCCGCCCGTGACGAACCGACAGAGGACTTCAAAGTTTGGAAGTGGTCGCGATTTGCATCCGCCGCACGCGATTTGCGGTGTTTTTTTTTAAAAAAAAATAATAACAATAATAACGCAGAGCTTTTGGAAACCCTCTGACGGGCGACAGGAAACGGGTCTATTTAAATAGTACGGCGTCCACCGACAGGGCCACAGTGACTCGGTCACTCTGCACCACCTCTTGTTTCGATGGGACCTGTGAAATTGCTGCTCCTCTTCCCTCGGCCACTGCTCCCCCTTTTGTCACCATTCGAACGTTTTCGGTGTATTGTTTTTTTTTGTGTGTGTGTGAAAGAGAGAGCCCCCCCACTGTATCTCGGTTGGAAGACCACTGCATCTTCCATTCGTCCTTACACTTTCATGCAGTGCACTTCCATGTCCCAAAGCTCTTCACAGCATATCGTGTGTGTAAAAAAAAAGTGCAGTGATTGTTTTGTGGGGTGTGAATGCGGCAGAAAACATTTGCACACGATAACAACAAAATTACACTTGTACACAGCACCTTTGGTGAAGGGAGGACACCGCATTGTTCCACAAAATTGTTTTTATCCACTTTTTTGCTTCATTTTTCTTGTCCTTAGTACATGTACAGTCAAGGTAGTGAACGGGAGAACTTGTTAATTTTTCCTGAACCGCCTGGCCTTCCATCTTGGGAGTTGGGGGCCCACAACATTAAGACTCGGGTGTCTTGCCAGAAAAAAAAGGTTCGAAAGAAATGTCTGCAAATCATTGAGGTTTCGGCAGCTTATGTTTAAACAGACAAGTCTTTGACATGTTGTTTGTGAGCTGACATAATATACAATGACCAACATCATCAATAGTTGATATCCCCACTTTATCCAGTTAGGCTGGTTGTTATGACCATGGAAATTTTCAGTGCGGTCGTGTGTTGAGGCAGCTATTTTGCTTCCTGTTTTTCTAAGGTACTTTTTAATTAATTCCATTTTCCATCTTGCTGCAATACGGTTTAAGTATAAATTGGTATTTGGACCGATTAAGAGGCAGAGCCATAGATGATGGGGCTGCGTGGTGTCCTGGAACTAAACATGAGGGAAATCTTTACCGAGTTCTTTGTTATAAGATTCCCTCCAATTGGCAAAGTAAAGTACCCTATTTTGATGTGTTAAGCTGAAAAATAATTCAAGCTGCTCACGTCTTTGAATGAGTTTGTTTTCTGTCTGGCTATTGATTAGAAATTAACAGTTGTGTGTAGCCCTGTGTATGCAAAGCGAGAGTGTTGCACCTGAAACCCAAAATTTAGATTGCTGCCTTCACAATAATCTAGGATATTATTTTGAAATAAAATGCATTGTAATTATGGGAGGCTTGTTACATTTTTGGTTGAGTTTTGACCACCAGTCTTGATGTACGTCTTTGACTAAATAAATAAAAAGAAAAACAAACTGAAATACAAGTAGAACTGCATTAGACCAGGCAATATCTGAAAGAGAAACCGAGTTTATGATGATGTTTAGGATATTCTATGGCACACATATATAGGACACAACATTTTAAAGTCTAGAAAAAGGGTGCTGGGTGCATCTTACCTGTACCAGGTCTGTAAAAGAGCTGTCCATTTAACCCTCACTTGCCCTCATTCCAGCACCAATCATATTTTTATTTTTCAAATATTTGTCTGATTTCCTTTAAAGGCTATTATGGATTATGCTTCAACCCACCATTCTTGACACCGTCTTTGAGGCAAAATCTATTATAGCTTTTATATGTTACGTTTTATCGATAGAACAATGCAAACGGGCAAAATGTTGCACGTGTCAGCTGGATAAGTGGACAAATGTTCCCCTTGCTTCTCTGTTACCAGTTACGCTCATTTACTTAGAGGGGAATGGCCCTGGTGAACTGGTACGTATTAGCAGTTGTTGAGGCACCAATCTAGGTTTGTTTGTGTGTCAGCCTGGCTCAGTTTCTAGCACTCTTGCTATGAGTCAGAATATTGTGAATTCAAGCCCGAAGTCGGGACTTGGGACTAAACTTACACTCCCAATACAGTCCTGATGGCACGCTGCACCTTTGGGGGGACGTTATAGATACCATGACGCTATTCAAAAAGAGAAGTGAGTTTCTCCTGGTGTCCTGGCCAACAATTCCCCCCCCAATAAAAGGTGTCATTCGCTTCAGGGCTGTTTCTGTGACATTCCTGTGTGCAAATTGGCTGTGGTGTTTACTGACAATAAGCAGTGTACTTTGCAGTATATTCTGTGGCGAGCTTTGGGACCGCCACCCGACATGTAAGGCGCTATACCAAATATAAGAACCATCACTATTATTGATAATTTGGTTTGTATTTGCCTAACCCAAATTTGGGTTGTTTGAAATCATAAGTACTTAAACGAAATAATTTGGTTAGGAAAAGTTTAACCATGTGGGTTTGTTTCTGTGTGTGTCAGATACCAAACTGAGGGGGAAAAAAAGTGTTCGGGGAGAAGTGATTAGCGATATACTTACATTGTAATGTTCCCTCACTGTCTGTTGAATAAGAATGGTATCGAGTTCTAGATTTAACTGTATTTGCAACAATCTTAAATACTGTAGCACAGTTCCATGATAAATTCACTTGTGTTCAAGATCAGGGATTGATTGAAGTTATCCTCACTGTAGCAGAATACTGAAGTTCGGTTTCTTGGCTGAGTAGCTCTGCATTTGTTGGAAGTAAACTGTACAGGGTTGTTAATGAAGTGGCAGGAATCAGTATCCAGAACACGTACCCCAATAAGTATCTTTCTCTTGTCCTATTGATCTTATAGCATAATTCCAGTTATAGCACAGAATGTAAAAGTCTTTGCATTTGTTATTGTGCCTTTTCATGTCAGGACTTTCCAAAACAATAGTCACTGTATTTTACAGTACAATGCACAAACAGCTGAGAAGAGTGATTTTTTTTTTATTTGGGGGTTTGTTGGCAAGATATTTGGAGAAATTTGCTTCTGTTCAAATAGTGCCATTGGGATCTTTACTGTCCTCCTGAACAGGCAGACGTGACTTTGGTTTAACGTCTCGTCCAAAGACGAGACTCGGCACCTCTGACAAGCTGTTCCCCAGCTCTGATTGGAGTGTCCAGCTGGAGTTTGATATCAGAGTCAGGTAAGCTGAGACATTTCTAAGCGCTTCACAGAATATTTTTGACAAGGAAGTGAGAGTGATGCTAATTGAGCCTGGTTGAAACTGATAAACAGCTCATAAACGTAACCAAGGCAGCCCACTTTCCTATAGAGATCTTCACTTCTACCTCTCTCCAGATAGCTCTTCATTTCCCTCAGGAGACAACAGCTCCCGTCACAGGAAGGTAATACGGCTTATCCTGCAGTTCTGGTGTCTTGGAAGAGGAGCCAGTTTTTACACAGCTGTCGGAAACTATGTGCGACAAATGATGTTCCATGTGTGCACGGATAACTTATTATCCGAGAGCCTTGGGTCGAAGACATGGTCAAAGCCAGCCATAATAGACTGAGACGGGTGATCACAGTCACACATTCACTACACTCAACAGTATATTCTGTGAAGCGCTTAGAAATGTCTCAAAGACTTGATAAGGCGCTATATCAAATGCGAGATTATTATTAAATGAAACACAAGGGTTGCTTATTGAGTGTGTTGTGAATTTACTAAGCAGTGTGAGAATGCCTGATGGCACACAATCCGGAGTGGGCAGCAGCTGGTTGATGGAACGCTGCAGTGGCTGAGAGCCATGACCTGTCTCGCCTTAATAAAGTACAGAGCATAGTGTGGACATCTGTGTGCTGCTCATGTCAGAGTACGTTTCCCACCAAGGTTAATGCTGGTTCTGCTTCCAGCTGAATTGCTTTCTCCACCTGGCTTGCTTACCCTTTGAAGTTTGTTCACCCTTTGCAAGTAGATTAATTACTGTGCTCTATCTGCTGGTTATAAATGTTGCTTCTGACTAAAACAGGGAAATATTCATGTACCGTGGGTTCAACAAAGCTTATCCCAGGAGTGGAAAACCGAGGCACCTTGGGCTGTGTACTGTTTGTGAAACGTGGAGGGTGCCAAAAAGGAACTAGACGAGTGCTTGCAAATCAAGATGGATGGGTTGAAGGAATCTTGACAGTTTGGATTACTAGGCTAGATGGATGAATGATTTGCTCCTGCCAGGAACTATTGCGTAATGTTATGTACTTTTTACACACTTCCCTAGTTCGTACTCTCTTTCCTGCTTCCTGTCCTGTTTGCACAGAGATATCACAGCAGGTGATCCCTGCACTGTGAGCGTGGTGCACTGACCTTTCCCAGTTCCGAGCAAAGTAACCATTTTAATGGTAGGCTGCAATCGCTGGCAGAAAAGGCAGGTTCTTTACGGACCAACGTAGCTTTAGAATTGTGGATGTGTGTTGACCTAATTAGGTGGGGGAAGTTTTCAGTATTCCTCCACAAGTGTTGGGGTCCATTTGCATGTTTCATTGCCAATACAAGGTTGTGAAGTTGTGCGAATGAATCCAGAATACAAGTTGACAGTGCTTCAAATGCATATCTGCCTTAATTGGTCTTCAAAGCCCTCCACGGCCTTGCTCCTTCCAAACTCTGTGACCTGCTAACCCCTGTCCGCTTCCTCTGCTCAGCAGGCTCTGGCCTGCTCCACAATTGACGGTCAGATCTTCAGCCTCTCTGCCCCCAGCCTTTGGAAGCTTATCCCTCAGTCCCTTCGCCTCGCTCCCTCCCTTACCTCCTTCATGGCACATTTCAAGACACTCCTCTTCGACCGAGCCTTGGCCACCCTCTTACCCCTCCTCTCTCTGCCCTCCAGCCCTCCTGATCCCAATTTGTTGTGTGTGTTTGTATACCTGTCTCCCCAGCTATTACCTCCCTTCCCCGGTTTGGCATCACGCTCTGGAATGCCCCCCCTGGGTGAGAGGTGCTGTGTAAATGCAAGTTGTTGTCTCACTCTGCCTTTTTACTGTGTGTGTGTGTGTATCCACGTATCTATCTGGATAGGGCTTCAGACCTGCTACTTGGTTTAATTTATGTACTTATTATCTTGTGCGCATGCTCGCAACTAAAATATTTCATCTGGTCTTTAATTGTATAGTTGAGCTTCATGGCGGATTAGAGAACATATGGTTATCGGCTATTGGGAAAAAATGCTGTCTTAGTCGGCATGGTTATACAGTCAGTGGAGGGAGGTGCTGAGTGTTTTTTTTCCTCGGTTGCTTTCTTTCACGAGGGCCACTCTTCTGCTATCTGGTGTCCTAGAAGCCTGTGTGTACTTCCTTAAGGGAACTGTATAAACTGTGATTCATTTCTGTCCTGGTGGATGGTTTGATGCCCTTCAGTGCACTGCTTGCTCTACATGGGGGTGGGGAGGAGAGAGAGAGGAAGGAGGCTTGTCCTGAAAAACAATATAAGATGTTGATGATAGTATTTACTGGATGTTTTACTGGGTGGAACATTCAGTCCCATTCTGATTCTGAAATAGTTTAGGCTCGACACTTAACTAATATGTCACTTAACTGTCAAGCGCTCCTATACACTATCCTGCATGTAGGGCGCTATATAAATCCAAGTTGTTGTTGTTAACTATCTTTTCAAAATTGCATTTCCAGGTTAAACAATTTTTTGTAAGGAATGGGGAATTTAATCGATAATTTTTTCTTTCTTCCCCTCCCCCACCTGCCTTTTAGGAATCTTTGAGTCCAGTTATCTTTGGCAGACTCTCTCTTACACAATGGGAAGAAAGGTGAAGAGAAAATCGGATGACATTTCCTCGGATGAGGAGGAGGAGTATGTGGTAGAGAAAGTTCTGGACAGGCGAGTGGTGAAAGGCCGAGTGGAATTCCTGCTGAAGTGGAAAGGTTTCTCTGAGTGAGTCCAGCATATCTTCTGCATGTTACTTATTTAAGTCTGTAAAAGTCACAGTGTTCATTCTTTAAATATTTTTCATCCTGCAGCTGGCTCTGGCCTCCTGCTTGTTCCTCGTCCCTCTGCTCCCCCAACAGCGACCGTGCTTTCAGCCACTACTCTCCGAAACATTGGAACTCCGCCCCCCCAATCCCTTCTCCTTTCTCCCTCCTTTCCTCTTTTAGATCACGATTGAAGACCTTCCTCTTCGACCGTACTTATGGTCTCCCCCCCCCCCCACCCCCGGCTTGGCATTGCTCCGAGGCACTGCCCTGCTTAAATCAAGGGTGCTCTAATAATGCAAGTTCTTATTGTCGTGAATCATTCTGTCTAAATTGATTGCGTTCTCTCCTCTGGGTCAGACAGTTGGCTGTTGGTTGAAGACCAACTTGGGGACTCTGAGCTCCTAGCTATAAGATTACGTAAAATTGTATATTCTAGGCAATGAGCATCACTCAGTGTACTGAATTGAACTCTCATGTGGCTGGTATGAGCCACTAAAATGGAGTTGCTGTTTTGGTGGGAGTTCAGTACAACAACTTATAGCACCCCGTCCCGCAGGGTAGCGTCTCAGAGCGCTTAATATCAAATCATTCCAGCTCACGTCAAGCTCTTCAGATACATTGCAGAGATTAAGAGGGGTGAGATTGTGAAGGAATTTTTTTTAAGCTGTAAAAAGACTATCTGTGCATTTTTCTTGTTTAATTTCAGTTTTCTCTTCCTTTTGTCTCCCATTAATTAGTAACCCTTGTCTCACTTGTTCTCCCTCCCTCCCTTTGCCAGGGACGACAACACATGGGAGCCGGAGAAGAACTTGGACTGTCCTGAGCTGATTGGCGAATTTCTGAAAACCTACAACAAAGGAAAGGAGAATGGCACGGGTTCAAAAGATAAGCCGGAGAGCCTGAAGCGTAAATCTACAATCCTGAACGGCAGTGAAGAGATCAAGTCCAAGAGAAAGAAAGAGGTTTGTAGGCAAAGCTTTTTAAGAGCGGCGTGTTCCCCAATTTGTATGTAGGTGGATCTTAGGTTCCCCGCAATCCTTTCCATTGACATCTCCGGAGTCCTGTAGCTCAGTGGTTAGAGTACTCGCTTTGTAAGCGAGAGACCTGGGTTCGATTCTGGCAAAGTGAAAAGTTTCCTGATTTTGTGGGTGAAACGTGGCAGCCAATTGCGCACAGCAGCGTCCCGCAAACAGTCGTGGATTGAGTGGCCAATTTTTTTTAAGGATTTATAACCCCCGGAAAAGCGATCCGCCAATCGACTAACAACCGGGTTCCCACTTACTGCTAGGTAAACAGAGGTGTGTGGAATAAGGAAACTTGCCCAAGGTTTCACCCTGCTGGGAATCAAACCCAGATCCCTCGCTTGTGAGGCAAGTGCTCTAACCACTGAGCTACAGGACTCCACAAGTCCAAGTTGTCAGTGCCCGACTCACCAACCTGAGACGTATTGTCACTCCCCAGCCTTCAGCCACTGAGCGCTTTGTGTCTCCAATTGATTTATGAACCAGCATCGGACGAGGGGCAGATAAATAGGGAGAGGGGTGTGCTAGTTGACTTGTATATTCAAGCCTTGCTTCTTGCCTCATCTTTCTGTTTCTGTCCACCAGGATGACAGTGCCAGGGGTTTTGACAGAGACTTGGAGCCAGAGAAGATTATCGGAGCCACTGATTCCTGTGGCGAGTTGATGTTTTTAATGAAGTGGTAGGTTACTGGAGATTTCTTTACTATCAATAATAAAAAAAATCCCGGTGATGCTTACAATTGTTGCATTTGATATGAGTTCTTACGTAGTTGCAAATGTCCAAAGCTCTTCACCTTCATCTAAATGTTTTTGTAAGAAGTTCCAACTGAAAGGCCTGCGTTTATAAACTTTTATATAGTATGTTTTTTTCCGCGTCTGCCTTGGGACGTCCTCCTGACTTGAAAGGCGATGCCGTGCAAATGTAACGTGTCGTTGTTGTTGTCGTCGTCTGCAGGAAGGATTCTGACGAGGCAGACCTGGTGTTAGCGAAAGAGGCCAATGTGAAATGCCCCCAGATCGTGATCGCCTTCTACGAGGAGCGGCTGACGTGGCATGCCTACCCAGCGGAAGACGAGGAAAAGAAAGAAGAGGCCGAGGCGAGCTAGAGACTCCGCAGCCCAATGTCCGACTGTTACATGCCACCTGAACCGCGTTTACACAGGCATCTCAATCAGTAAGCGCCAACTCCAGTGTGAGCTTCGGGGTGGGGGGGTGGGAGGTGGGGGGAATGATCCACACTTAGCTTCTCTTGTAATAGACTCGGACCTCTGACTTCACGAAGACCGAATCCACATCACCAACAAACTGACTGCTTTAATCCCCTCAATCCAACCCAACCTTTTCTCTTTTTTTTTTAACTAACTTTGCTCGATGCTGTGTATAAAAGTGAGTGGGCGGTTGCTTAATCCTGACTGGTCCTAGTTTATTTTTTTAACACGACATACCTTGGCGTCTTTCCTTTTTTTTTTGTCGTTTTCGATCTTGCGAGAAGGGCGAATGTATTCCCATTGTGAGAGAGCGTCCTGATCACAGAAAGGGCAATCTCTCTGCTAGTGGTACGGTGAGGCAGATTGGGAGCTCGATGGACGTTCAATCAGTCCTTCAGTAGCACATCTATGTGCTGTGCAGCAAGGTAGAGTTAGTTTGTTTCAGTAACCTGACCTGAGGAATGAAAGAACCAGCCAGACTCTCTGGAAATAACTGCACCTCAGTGTGTTGCCTGCCATTCGCTGCTGCAGTTGTGTAGTATGTAAATCTTTATTTTTTATTTCTCACTCATCTACAAAAAGAAATCTATTACAGCAGGGTAACAACTGGTCTTTTTACTTCTGTTCTGGGAAGTATGGTGGGTATCTGCAGAATGCTAAGCCCTACCTAGCAACCCCCCACCCCCCCCACCCCACTCTTCTCTCCTACTTCCATCTGTTTTGTTAGTGATAACCTGAAGTCACACTGGAGTCGCAATGTCCTTTTTTTTTCTGGGTGTGTGGGGGCGGGGGTAGGAAAAGAAGGGATGCCATATTTGCCTGTGTAAATGTGTTTTGGGCAGAGCAGATGATGTATTCACTCCCATTTGTACTTTTACAGAGCTGTAAAATCCCTTCACCGGCTGTCCAAAGGTGTGTGTGTGTGCGAGAGAGAGAGAGTGTGTGTGTGTGCGAGAGAGAGAGTGTGTGTGTGTGTGTGAAACTCCTTCGCCTATTGGTAATGTTCTGCCCGGAGGGAGGCACTTGTTTATCGGTTCCTCCTCCGCCTCCTCCTCTGAATATTTTATATTGACATCACGCTCGTTTCAGAACAAATGGCAGAAAATAATGTGGAGTTTTACAAAAAAATATTGCTGGAAATCAATCCAAGGAGTTCAGACAGGTTATATCATTCGAGATGTGTTTTCATGCAAACCTGTTCTTTGGAAGGTCTGTCGGTGAAGGTGACTTAAAACAGAACCACGTGATTAGTGTTTTTTTCTTTCTCTCTTTGTCGTTGACCTGTGTTCCTCATTGGCCAGTGGACAATAGCAGGGTCTCTTCCCCCCACCCTCCCACCGTGCCCCTGGCCCCCACACACACGTCTGTCTGCTTCTGTTCCGTTTCTTTTCCTCCTACCCCCCGCCCCCCCACACCCTTCCTGGGGCTGATGGACTGATTCATTAATCAGCATTTTGATGGTTTTGTATTATGCTGCAGCTCGGCCAAAGGGAAACATATAGTCTCTTTGATGTGCAATCTTGAGCAAAGTCCAGATTCCCTGTCTCCACATTACCTTTATACTCCCTTGCAATCTTAAAACTGCCTTGCTTCAAGTGAACACGTCCCAGCTTGAAATGACAGCACCAAATGGTTTCAGAGTCTTTGAGGTTGTTCCCAGGAGCTTTACTCGTGTGGGACAGAGAGAGAGGCCCCAAATCCCACCTCGTCTTTAAAGTTTATGAAAATTTTTAACTTCAGTCTCGATTTGAAAGCCAGTTTTCTGCAGTTCTCTTTTTAAAAAATACACCGATGAAGACGCGATCCACCATTTTTTTTTGTTTGGGATTCTGCGCCTTCTAGAATTTTTACAACAAAACGGGCACCCGGGGCTAAGAGCTGATGGAATTTCAGGACTTTAGAAACTGCCCTCCAGAAAGTGGGGGGGTGGGGGGGGGGGAGAGGACTATCTTTTTTGGCTGAAGGCTGCTTTGATTTTCAGCGTTGATCAGGTTTGTTCTCCCAAGAAGAAAAAATCGACCATGTTTCTTTTTCCCTTTAGTGATCATTAACCTGATGTATTGGGAGCTGGCTCTTGTTCAGTGTGTCCTCTTTACATTGTGATGGGAACCGCTGAACTCATGTGATTTGGATGAAGTGCAAAGAACCGCACATTTCTCCCCCGCTCCTTCCCATTGTATTTGCAAGTGCCACTGCGCTGTACATATCCTCATCAGACAGACAGACTGTGTCTCTTGTGGTCTATATAGCCCCTTTGCTTATAATGCTGTCTCCACCGTGAGACAGTTCAATTCAATTTTAATAAACTTTAAACTTGTTGGTTCATTGTTTCCTCTTTGTTGATTTCCTTTCCCCCCCCCCACCAATCCCCCAATCACTCTATCTCTTCTCCCTGTCCAGTCTAACACGAGGTAGAACAATACAGCCAGAGAAACTATCGTCGTTGAATCACGACTGATCTATCAAAGGAGAGTGGTGTTGGGTGTTGGATAGACTCCTTCTTTCCTCCTCACTCAAATTCCTTCAGCCCTCTCCTTCCCCCTTCCCCCACTGTCTCCTCTCTCCCCGAAACATTCCCACTGGAGCAGTCAAAAACACAGAACCCGCTCAGATCTTTTATCCTGGATGGGAGCCAACCTTGTGTGTCATTCCCGAGGCCTGAAATCCCACAGACTGCTAAAGCTGCCTCTTTCACATTAAGATCGCACAGAATTAGGGAAGATTCTGAACGCTCCAATTTTAATTGGGAGACTTTTTACGCGTACGGGGGAAAAAAGCGGAAACCCGGCTTCTAAATTAAGATGATTGAAATCTCTTGCATACTTCAACTCGGTCTTAAATCTTTTAAGACAAAATTGCCTTGTTTGCCGAGACTTGTAGAATTAGCCTCCAGTCACTGATCTTTTTTTAAAAAAAATAACTTTTCTCCTCCTCTACCCAACCCCCCCCCCACCACCCACATAGGATCAAAAAAAGTGCTTACACATATGAGGAGATTGTTTGCTGTTGATGGCTACATACACCCTACAGAAGTGACTGTTTTCAGGGTACTTTCAGGGGGAACGAAGAGAACTCTCTCTCTCTCTCTCTTGGGATATTTTCATATCAGATACTCAAGTCTAGTTGACGAGGTTTCCAATGACGTCTCGCCTGTTGAAACTGCTTGACTGATGAAAGAACTTATTTTGCTTTGTACGTGGCTCAGTGATGTTGGTGTTCTGTGTCAGTAGTGTTAGTTTTTTTTTAAAAAAAACTACCTTATTTTTAAAATCTAGAAAAACCTTGAAAGTGTTCTGTCTGTGTGCTTGGGACATTCTTTGTTTTTGTGGAAAAAAAATGTTACTGGTGTCTCGGGACGGACTTTGCCTCCTGTGCGGAAAATGTCTCTCTGTCTCTCTCTTTCTATCTCTCTAGCTCTTTCTTTCTCTGGGGTTCTGATTTGTGGAAGGGGAGCCATAAAACAGCTGACACCTCGTTTCCTGCCAGGCAATGAGACCGTATCTTGGGAGTTGAAGCTAAAGTTGGCATTCAAATAGAGTCCAGAGCAACAGTCACCTACTGGGTCTGTTTCTCCCGTTTTCGCCCCACCCTCTCCTCCCTCCCAGCCGCTAAACTAAACCTTTTGTAAAATCAGACTCGTATTGAGTTTTTTCCCCCCCCAAAATAAGGGCCAAATGGATTATTTTCCATTCTAGGCTGTTCTGCCCCATAAGTCCAATTTGCACGAAAAGGATACCGTGAACAATCAATTTATCCGGAGGAATTTTTTTCCAAGACACCAGAAGAAACTGCCCTTCTCTTTTCTAATAGTGTTGCGAGATTTTTAACATTCACCTGTACAGGTAGACAGATGGGACCTGGTTTATTAGGACAGCAACAACCAATTACATTTGTAAATAGCCCATTTTCATGTTGGGATGACTTCCCAAGGTGCTGGGCAATGGAGGGTTAGCACCCGAGCTGGGGGTTGCGATTGAGAGGGATGAGGGGGGCCAATGGGGAACGGAGGGTGACCGAAGGCATGGTCAACGCGGAAGGTCTTGAGACGGGCCTTGGAGGGGGCAAGGCGAAGGGATTCTGGAATTGAGTGAAACTAGTTGGCGTGGGAATGGGTTTGTTGGAGGGTGTGCGGGTGGGGAGGAGAGAGACATGTGACATGCTTGGCAGTGGATGGAATGTCATGAGTGCCAAGATTTTTTTTATATATATATATATCCCAGATTAACAACTTCAATCTACATTTCTGCATTCATGTTCAGATTTGGATGCCGGTGACTTTATTCCTCATTTTTAAAACTTTTGACTTTGAATCATCAAATGGTTTTACAAAAAAACAGTTGTCTGCTTCAGACTCTCTTTAACTCCTTCTCCAAAACCTCATGCTGTCTCTGCCTATCTGCCTCTCTCTCTGTCTGCCTGCTCTTCTCTGTCTCTCTCGTGTCTGCCTGTCTCTCTCTCTCTCTCGTGTCTGCCTGTCTCTCTCTCTCTCGTGTCTGCCTGTCTCTCTCTCTCTCTCTCTCGTGTCTGCCTGTCTCTCTCTCGTGTCTGTCTGTCTCTCTCTCTCTCTCTCTCTCTCTCGTGTCTGCCTGTCTCTCTCTCTCGTGTCTGCCTGTCTCTCTCTCTCTCTCTCTCTCTCGTGTCTGCCTGCCCCCCTCTCTCGTGTCTGCCTCTCTCTCTCTCTCCACACTCGGAGCTTTATAGTCACAGCTTCTGTGTTTGTTTCTATAATCATGAGGTTTGAGCGCACATAAAGTAACCCAATCATGTGGTGTTACAGTACAGTCTCAATGGAGGGCTTTGTTTGCCAACAACCGAGGCTCCGGGTTTGAGGTCCTTTCCATTCCCAGTCAGTTATGAGAGGGAGACTGGGAGGGGGCAAAGGAAGTCTGGAATATAAGAACATAAGAATTTGCTGGCAAAAGAAGACAAAGGTCCATCCAGTTTGCCTTCCACTATCCTGGCAGTCGCTTGACATGTCGTGTCCCAAACTATATACTGTATCCTGAGAAATTGTTTTCTAACCAAAATCTATCCAATTTGTTCTTGAAACAAATTACTTTCTTCTTCCACAGTCTGTCTCCCTAGGGAGCCTGTTCCATTCTTTTACTACTCCCTCACTGAAGCAGTGTTTCCGCGGATTTGTTCCGAATTTACCCCTTCCGTCAATCTCAGGCCGTGTGCTCTGGTTCTACTGTCACCATAGATAATGCCAACATACTTCTCTCCTGGCAGGACCTCACCACCATCTCAATTTAATTCTGGGTGCTAGTTCCCAGCAGTGTGATCATTGGCAAGAGTTGGGCCTTGAGTTGTGAGTAACAGGGAACAGGGTAGATGGTGGGAGGAAGAGAGGGGGGTGGGGGGGGGGGGATGGAGTGGAGGGAGAGAGAGGTGGTTTCATCGAGACACCCCGATTTGCAAATTGCTGTACTGTTGCTGCAAACCTACTCGTGTTTTATTTGAAATGTATGAAACCTGTATGTGTGTGTGTGTGTATCATGAGTAAAATCACCATCCCACCCGCAGCTGATGGTGCTGTACAGGATTCGAGAAAGCTGCTGTTTTTACTAATGCATGTTTAAGGATTTATGGTCAAGTAATACTTCTAGGTACCTCTTTTCTACAGAGGCAATGTACCCTCTTTTTTGTGTATGTTAAGTACTGAAGCTTCTTTCCATAACTCACCGTGTTTCGTCTTTTTATTCTCTGGCAATTTTCCCACTGAAATAACAGCGACGGGGCACATGCACTATAGACAGTCAGGCACACCACCACCACAACAACAACTTGCATTTATTTAGCACCCTTCACATGGGGTAGCGTCCCACAGTGCGTCCTGTTCCCCCCCAACTTATACACCCACACCCACACACAGAATTTTGCTCATGAGGATCCAAATCAAGCTGAGAATTCCAAACATGCCACCTACATATGGAAATTCCAGATTGTTGGAAGAGAATGCACACTCTCTCGCTGGAGCGACACCTCCTGCTTATCTAATTCTGGAGAGTATTAGGCGCAGGTTGGCAAGAGCCAAGGTTTGGGGGGAGCCCAGAGTGTGCGTTGGGGTAACTGCTCGAGTCTAACCAGCTAAACCCACACAGCTTGCTATTGATATCACTGTCTGGCTAAGCTTTCCCACTGCTTGTCCAGCTAGGACTACCCTACCCATTAGGGCTTTGGCTTGCAGGGTTAATAGAAAGTATTACAACAACAACAACTTGGATTTATATAGCACCCTTCATGCCAGATGGCATCTCAGAGCGCTTCACAGTAACGGATCCCGGGCCGAGCCAGGGGGAGTGGGGGGGGGAGGTGACCAAAGGCGCGGTCGAAAAGAAAGGTCTTCAGCAGAGCCCTGAAAATAGGAAGGGAGGGGGCGAAGGGAGTTCCAGAGCCTCGGGGCATAGTGGCTGAAGGCAAGGCCGCCGAGGGTGGAGCGGAGGACTCGGGGGACAAGGAGGAGGACAGACCCGGAGGAACGAAGGCAACGGGCACTGTTTTGAGGAGAGAGGTCAGAGAGGTCGGGGGGTGCAGAGGAGTTAAGGGATTTGAAAACAAGGGTGAGGATCTTGAAGTTGATCCTCTGGGACAGGCAGCCAGTGCAGTCTGGCCAGGACTGGGGGGATCGGGGAGCAGGATTTGGGGGTGGGCCAGGACTGGGGGATCAGGGAGTGGGGTTTGGGGGTGGGGGGGAGGGCCAGGACTGCGGGGATCAGGGAGTGGGGTTTGGGGGTGGGGCGAGGGCCAGGACTGGGGGGGATCGGGGAGCGGAGTTTGGTGCGGGTGAGAATGCGGGCGGCAGAGTTGAATAATCTGGATTTTATGGATGGTATTGGAGGGGAGACCGGCGAGGAGGGCGTTAGAATAGTCCAGCCGAGAGGTGACAAAGGCATGGATCAGGGTTTCAACGGCTTTCGGAGAGTGTTATTGGCGGAGACGGGCGATGCGTTGGAGGTGGAAGAAAGCGTTGCTGGTGAGGGACCGGATGTGAGGGAGGAAGGATAATTGGGGGTCGAACTTGACGCCGAGATTACGTATGGGTTCGGAGAGCTTAGGGGAGGTCAGGTAGGTCGAGGAGGTGAGAACCGTGAGATTTGAGACGTTGACGAGAGCCAAAGAGTATGGCTTCTGTCTTGTCAACGTTCAGCTGAAGGAAATTTACGCTCATCCATCCCCTGAGGTCTGACAGGCAGCTGACAGAACATCAGGGCACTGGGGGTCGCAAAGAGGTGGAAAAATTGTTGGGTGTCATTCGCGTACGTGTGGAAATGTACATGTGCGGATGACATCCCCAAGAGGGAGCATGTAGATCAGAAAGAG